GAATGCAAGGGGAATGGAGATTTTAAAAAAATCCACAAACTAGACATCATATAAACCTAACATATATCAATATACATTAGTTAAGGAAAGAGACCCTCTTTGGACACTGTGAATTGGTTGCTATTGTGTTGGTATTAAATTTTCTTGTTTCATTTTTTTAAATATTCAGATTAATGGTCATCGATCAAATAATCTGTGAAGAGTTTTATGATGAATGTTTCATTTTGGGAGGCAACTGCCTTAGAAACCTGTTTTCATATAAATCTTCTTTTACATAAGCAAACATTTGAAGAATGAATACTTGAAAATTTGAAAAATAATAGATATTTGTTATAACTATCCACTTTTATAAAATGAGAAACAGAGAAGATACTAATGATCCATTAGTCTAAGAAAAAAACCCAAGTTTTTAGGAATTATCTTACAGTAAATATATCAATACATGGGATTTAAAACCCCATGATAAAGAAACGTGGGAGAAAAAACCCCATATGACAATATAAGCAACATATGGGTTTAAAAAATCTACATTGATTTTCGTGGGGTTATTTCCCCCATGGGGTGAAAAATAAACCCCATGGGGTTTTTGTGGGGTTTTTTGTGGGGTATTTTTAAGTTCATGTTTCCCCATGGGATTTTTGTTTTTGAACTCAAATATCTCAAAAACTAGCAGAAAATGTTGAATTTTTTTTTTCATAAATCAATTTGATTATAAAAACCCCACCATTTAAAAAAAACCCTAAGATGATAGCTTTAAAGGAAAAGGGTGCGCAAGTTCGGAAAAATGTCCATTCCGAAGTTGTCCGTCCCACTGTTTTTGTTTGTTTGTTTGTTTGTTTGTTTGTTTTTTTTATGGGTTGATCTTTGTTTTTATTTTTATTTATTTTTTTTCTCTCTCTCTCTTTTGATGTCTTGATTTCTATTTTATTTCTTCTTTTGTTTTTTTTTAATTGCAACTTTTTGTAGAACTTGTAGAACTCTTAGCCATTCATATGAATGTTTCCAGATCCTACGACGTGGACGTGGTTCTACATCAGGATCCATTTATTTATTTATTTTTATTATTTTTTTTTATTTATTCATTTTTTTTTTTTGTTGTTGTTTTTTTTTTTTTTTTTTTTTTTTGTATGTTTTTTTTTTTTATTTATTTTTTTTTTATTTATGCGTATTCTTTTTATTATCATGTTGCCTTCTTTGTCAAAGTGGTTGACTTGCAAGCTTTTACTCTTTTTCTTTGTCCAGGCTTTTTTGCAATAGTTGCCACTTTAGGAATGGTCAAACTTCCGTCTTTGGATGTTATGGAGGATGCTGGTATGATGAAGTTTAGAAGTCTATGAAGTCTTCTTTGTCTCTGATCTGGCGTCAAATTTACCCAAGTTTCGTTAGACACTAGTAGAATTTCTGCTGGCCCTCTAATGCTAAGATCACCCCTTGAGTGTAATGAGTCTCGTATATTTGATGTTTGATTGCTATCCAGGTCTCTGAGTAAATCGATCAGAGCAGGAAGTTTCAGAATCCTCCAGTCGGTTTGTAACTTTATAACATTGTTGTAAGATTCATTATTGTTGTTTGTCCATAACTTTGGGATCTTGAAATTTGTCTTTTTCCTTGATTCAAAAATTTCTTTGGAAACTTTGCGCAGGAAAGAATTGAGGTAGGGCAGGTCTTGTTTTTCTTTGATTTCGTTTTCCATTTCTTTGTAAACCAAGTCCGATTCAACAGTGAGGAGTCCCGTGGATTTATTGAATATTGAGTTAATAATATCTTGAACGTCTGGATTTGTCAAATGGTTTTTTAAATGGTGCCGCAAATTCTCTTTCAAATGTCTTGTGCAGAGAGTGTGAGTGGATGCTGGAAAACAAGACTCAATTGCGTTTGTCAGGGCCTTTTCTCCATCTGTTCCGAATATTATTTTTGATTGGTCTATATCATGAAGCTGCCCTTGTAAATGCGATAAAAACCTCTGATACGTATGGTATGTACCATCCCAGTGCAGGTAAATAGGGCCTAGCTTTTTTGACTGATTTGGATTTGAAATGACATAATAAAAATATTACGACATTATACTTTTTTGCTCTCTATATAATTCTATACAAAATTTGATTTTATTTTTTTAGACAAACTCTTATAAATTTCCCCATTACAAAATTTGATTTTATTTTCATGACCAAGTCTTATAAAATTCCCCCACATTATAAACATAATTCAAGTTAATGTCAATCGAATGTGACTGCCGCCGTAATATGAGAAAGGGAAGTTAAGTTATTCATTGAAATTTGAGTTCATATTTTAAAGGATCAAAAATTCAATCTCAGCACAACATAAATTTTTCTCATTCAAGGAAATTACAAATCGTAAACCATATATGTTGAGTGATAATACTGATCTTAAACTTGTGGCGAAATGTTGCAGATCTTTATTTATATTTACAAATTCAAAATAAAAAAAAATGCATAAACCCCAAATTATTAGTATATGGGCCTAACACGTTAGTCTCCTTTCCTTGTAATACCCGGCTGGGAGTTAGGACACATGTGCAATGGGTGAAAACTTCATATAACATATACAGTTATATTGCAGTTAACCCGAATGTCCAGCATTATCTCCTCCCAGAAGCTCCCGAAGGAACTCAGACACAGATATGAAAGGAGGTGTATGTACATGTAAAAATAAATAAAGACATGTACTTAGTTGTCACCGTTAGGTATCCGTACATGTTATACTATACCTTAGCAATTCGAAGTTTTGTTTATTAATTTTATTACTTATGAAATTATGACTTACAAGCATTCAATACTCGTAAAATTTTTAAATGATGACTTTTTTTTTTCTAGACTTCAAGTTATCGCGAAATCTTATAAAATTTTTTTTGAAACAAAACTTCGATTTGCGTGCCCGTCATGATGATATGAAACACAAATAATCATTTATTTTTCAATACATGTATTTTATTTATTGACAATAATTACCTCATAATGCCGACTAGAAAGTCAAAATAACAGTTTTACGTATACTAAGATAGCAAAAAACTGATTTATTGAAAGAAATTTTTTGCAACTTTTATACTTACGGATTCTTTCATCTTCTTGATGATGAGACTATAATGGAAAAGTTTGTCCTTTTCTTCTTTGATATTGCACGAATCTTTGTACATTATAATAATTAAATGCAAACATTTACAAACTTGCCTTTGATAAATCGCAAATCACGGCAAAGAAGATCATTTTAAATGTTTATTTTACAAATTCACCATACAATTAATTTTACGAACCAATTAAATAATTGGCGTCCGTCTTGGTTATATACACACAATTTGTTGGTTTAAATTGTAAGAGTTGTATACTACTATAAAAGATACCGTACTGTCTGACATCAACACGTACCCCAGATACACTGGTACATCAGAACGTCCTCAACAGACAAACAGACTAGTGTGACACTGTAGAATTGACTGATCTATATGTAAACAATACCCTTATCTTTATAGTCTGATAATAAGAATAAAATCATAATAGAAAAACAATTGGCATTACTCAGGTATTTCACCTAACTTGCAAAGTTTGACAACATTGCTATAATATAATCCAATCTCATAATCATGCACTTTCATAATATCTTAAAATATATATCACATCATAATGCACACTCTTAGTAACTCTATATGCATCTTCATTTCTCATTAATACTTACAAAGTTCTTCTCTACAGGAGTCTTTGTTTCAAAAACAATTCACAAATGGCGCACACGAGAAAAATAATCTCAATGACCAATGATGACCAAGTTTTGACATTAATTCAAAAACTTCTTTTTCAAAACCAATATCATATTCTAAATGGAAACAATGTGAAATATAAGTTACAATATTTTCATTACTATGAAATTACACAAAACCTATTATACTTAGTTGCATTATTTGGAGAGTATACAGATTAAAAAAATTTCATTACGTAACATCTTTTCTATGACACTGAACGTAATCCGCAGTGGTCAAGTGGTTAACGCAGAGCTCCTTGAACAACAGATCACGACAACCCTGGTTCAAATCCCAGTCGTGGTAAAAACTTTTTTTTCTTTTTTTATATATACATAAAATTTGTTTTAAAATATACAACTCTTACAAAATCTACAGCCAATTAAATAATTGGCGTCCGTCTTGGTTATATACACACAATTTGTTGGTTTAAATGTACAGCGGCACTCATCAATGAAGTAGCATCTACACCGTCGTTTGTAATAATCAAAAACGTGATTATCTTTTAATTATTTTTTCTATTGTAAATTATAATTTTGAACGTATTTTGCATGAATATTCCCGACATTCCTCTCACTTACAAAAAAAAAGAAATATAAAACTACAACCTCTAAATAAATGTATATTTATAAAAATAATACATATTTTCAATATTTAATAAAAAACAAATCCCAACATGTAATTCCCATATTTATTAGATAAAACAAACAAAAAAAGAAATAAATAAAACAATGTTTATTGACCATGTTAGCTTCAAATTATTGCATCAATTATTTAATTTCAATCGGGTTCGAGTTCAAAAGGGAAATCGTAGCCTGGAAAATAAATTGAAATAATTCAATAAATAGTAGTTACAGGAAAAAATGCTTCAGGATATATATTTATAATGGTAAACTAAATAATAAAAACATTAAAAAAGTTGTACAAATGCATTAAATTCTTTTTTTTTTTTACCAGCGTACTCTAAAGTACTCTATCGTACTCTAGCGTACTCTGTTTAGTAGGACCGCCTTTACTGCATACATGTGCACATTTTTAGTTGATGCATCTAAAAGATATAGTTTTGATTCGGTGTTTCTTTGTTTTCTTTTTATTCAAATAATTTTAAAATGTGATGATGTACACAACAATAATTAGTACCTAGTTTAGAGGATTTTTTCACTCGGATTTCCTCGGATGACTCGTACCTCGCACATAACGGAGCATAGCGGAGTCAGCCGAGGATTGCCGATTGGGATTTTTTCGCGCTTGTTTGTAAACAACGCGCGGCATTGTGGGAAATAGGAAGGTACTAAAGACGCGATGTACTAAACACTGATTTGACCTGATTCAAATTTGTCTGTAAATGTTCCAAACAATTGAATTTTTGTATAGCATATGCCTCGAAGTCATAAAGTCTGTACATAAGTAATTTAAAATACTCAATATTACCATTTAATTAAAAATTAAAACGTCAGGTAAATATCAGGTCTCTAGTATATCCCGTTTTTAGTGTGCCCCTTCGAGTCGACGTCGGACACATGTTTGCCATGGTTTACAAACTGAAAATAGAATGATTTGTGAAGTTGAACATTTTCTCACAAAGAATCCGTTTGTAGACATGTACACTCATTTAATCTGCAGATACGAAGTACTTTGTCACTTCTCTGGAACATTATTCTAAGCAGAATTATCCCGATTCATATATTCTAAGAATCTTGTGTGAATTGTTTACGAGGAAATTCTGACTGTCACATTAACAAGGATGAACACTCTTGACTCTGCTTCGGATTCCCCAGTGATAATTGTATCGAGTGATGAAAGAGCTGACGGCGACATTTTAATGTATGATTGGCTTGGACCATTGGAATGAAGGTTAGAATATTTTTATTACTTAAAATTTACACTACTGATTACATGACAGTGACATACATTGATGTTATTAGAAATACACAGACACACCGATATATTATCTGTTTTACAGTTCAGACGCTCTCTGTTTACCTTGTAAATCCCCACAGCTTTATATTTTATTTTTTTTTAATTTGAGGATGTAATTTCAACAGTCCTACTATCTATCATAGTGATCATACTCTATAATTCAAACTGCACTTAATGTTACAGAATATATTCAACTAATTATATATTGACAGTGTGACTGTAAGGGTAAGGGCAGATACTCATTTAGTTTTAATTTAGATTGTGCTTGTCAAGCCGCATTTGACATTTGGTGCATCCATGCTCAGTGTTCACACTGAGAGTTTATTCAAATGTTTAATTCAAATGAATTCACTGCTCGTTAAATTACTTCCCATTAGCTCCATGTGAACATGAGTAAGGATAGCTAATTCAAATTAAATAGAAATGAATTTTGAATGTAGCTTAAACATGTTAAAGAAGCTAAGCACCATGGGTCCAAAGTACACTGCGGAAAAATTGTGTGGAGCAATGTGCAAGTCACAATCTTCTTTTGCCAAGGTCTTATCATAAGAGCTCGCATCATGGGCAGGAATTTGTGCTGCTGTCTGGACTCGCTATAAATAGATGTTCTCAAAAAGTCTTAATTATTTAATATCATACTTTACTGACAAAAAAGGACAAATATTGCTCAGTTAAATTGCAAAAGAAATTTGTTTAAAAAAATTGTAATAATAGAAAGTTTGCTTTTTTGTTTGATAAGACTGCTGTAATGGTTTAATGTTTGTTTATTTGCCTTAATCATACATTTTTCAGTCATTTCATGGTGCCACCACTTGGGATGGTATTAGCTGCAAATATAGACTTGTACTCAGCACTTATTGCCTTTAAGAAGTATGAGATCCATTTTGTGCTAACACCTACCGTGACACAGAATCTTGGTTTATGCAGTCTCATAGGAGTAACCTGTCTAAAGCATTTAGCAATGGGATTGGAACCTGCGACGTAAGGTTCAGCTTCTTATTGATACTTTGATTTATAATATTTATTTGAGAATTTTACTCATTCACATACTTAGAGATGTTGATATATGTTGTTGAACAGCATCAATTTAGACCTTTACTTAGCTAAGTAAACATGTACTGTGAGGTTTTTAAGGTCTCATTCATTTTATATGCCAGATGCATGTTAAGGAACATTACTGCATAAATGTTTTTGTCTTAAATTTGAAGCTCTTTACTAATATAGAGATATGTTAGTGTTAAACCTCTTCAAATTAGGGTAGACCTTTACTTTAAACTCAGCAATGTGAGTGTGTTGTGTGAACTTGTGTTAGCGAGACAGTGTGTTGTATGAATTTGTGTTAGCAAGGCAGTGTGTTTTGTGAACTTAATTGTGTTAGCCTGACAGTGGGTTGTGTGAATTCTTGTTAGCTTGACGATGTGTTGCGTAAACTCGTGTTAGCGGGACAGCGTGTTGTGTGAAATCGTGTATAAAGTGTAAGTGTGACAGTGTGTTGTGTAAACTCGTGTTAGCTAGACAGAGTGTTGATTGAACTTGAATTAGCGAGACTTCGTGTTGTGTAAACTCGTGTTAGTGAGACTGCGTGTTGTGTAAACTCATGTTAACGAGACTGCGTGTTGTGTAAACTCATGTTAGCGAGACAGCGTGTTGTGTGAACTCTTATTAACGAGACAGCATGTTGTGTGAATTCGTGTTAGCGTGACAGTGTGTTGTGTGAACTTGTTATCCTGAAAATTTGTCGTGTGAACTGGTGTTAGACAGATAGTGTGTTGTGTGAACTCGTGTTAGCGAGATTGCATATTGTGTGAACTCGTGTTAGCCAGACTGCGTGTTATGTGAACTCGTGTTAGCGATATTGCATGTTTTTTGAATTTGTGTTAGCGTGACAGTGTATTGTGTGAACTCGTGTTAGCCTGACAGTGTGTTGTGTGAAATGGTATTAGGATGACAGTGTGTTGTGTGAAATGGTATTAGGATGACAGTGTGTTATAGCAACAGCGTTTGGTGCGAACTTGTGTTAGTGAATAGTGAGACAGCCTGTTTTGTGAATTCGTGTTAGCGTGACAGTGTGTTGTGTGAACTCGTGTTAGCCTGACAGTGTGTTGTGTGAAATGGTATTAGAATGACAGTGTGATGTGTGAAATGGTATGAGGATGACAGTGTGTTATCGCAACAGCATTTGGTGCGAACTTGTGTTAGTGAATAGTGAGACAGCCTGTTTTGTGACTTTGTGTTAGCATGACAGTGTATTGTGTAAACTCGTGTTAGCGTGACAGTGTATTGTGTAAACTCGTGTTAGTGAGACTGCGTGTTGTGTAAACTCATGTTAGCGTGACAGTGTGTTGTGTGAATTCATCTAAGCGTGACAGTGTGTTGCGTGTACTTGTGTTAGCTAGACAGTGTGTTGTGAATTTGTGAATTTGTGTTAGCATGATAGTGTGTTGTGTGAACTCGTGTTAGCCTGATATTTTGTTGTGTGAAATTGTATTAGCGTGACAGTGTGTTGTGTGTTTGTGTGACAGCGTGTGGTGTGAACTTGTGTTAGTGCGAAAGTGTTTATCAGTGTTGTGATGGCGAGCTGTGTGATAGCCTAATGGTGTCTTTTGTGTCGGTAAGATGGCACGCTTTTATGAAAGTGCTATTGAGCTTTAGCAAGTGGCCCTATCTGGACACGCCTTATTATAATTGATCAGTTCTCAGATATACAGTGAATTACCGGTATTATTGTCACCATGAATTCAGCATTTACAGTTGCAATTACCTAGTTAGTAATCATAAGATATTGGTTTGCGAGTTTTAAAATTATGGTGTTCCAATGATGTGAAGTTGCAGTGTGTTAGCATGTTAATTTCAACAGAATGCCACTCCAATGCAGCTTTAAACAACACGCTGCTGTGTTTACACAAAACAAAATATCATGCAAACACAACTCTAAACAATCTGTTGAGTGTTAGCTTCACTGCATGTTGGATTCAGTGTGCTGGCATATTATCACTGATGTACATGCTAGCACATTGTCACCTCGTGCTAGTATGTTGTCATAAATACTCTAGCACATTATCCTAAACCCACTAGTGCATGATTACTTTGCACTTGTATGTTGTCTTATTAGGGGATAGCATACATGTAAATGACTGTCTTAATTGGTGTAAACTTCTTTTAATTGATGAAAGAGTACATTAAAATTTACAAATTATACACAGAAAATGTTACAATATCTTATCTCTCAATTTGATAATCTAATTTATAATCTCATGAATTGCACTTTTTATTAGTAAAAGAATTATAAATTAAAAAATTTCAATTTCTTTTGGATAGGTGTGACTCATCTGAATACTGAATTTTGATACCAAGCATGACCATGATTTGCCAGAAGATCATCTGTTTGGATGTGACATGGAATAAACAGCATAGTGAAAATAAGTCAAGTTTTGGTTTGTGAAGACAATTTTTAAACACACTGTATCATTTTTAAATTTTAATTTGACAACATAAATCCACAAATATGAACATATCAATTGCTCTCAGTTTTTCAAGTGAAATAGTTTTTGTAACAGAAATACATGTACCAGTAATTACATTGGAATAAATGTTATTTTTAAATATAATAATATTTTGTTTGTGTAGCATGTTGACCTCTTTATTAAGGTCTTCCCTTTCAAAGTTTAGACTTACTTATTCTAATGATTAAGATAGATCCTCTGTCTTCAGCAGGAATATAAGATCTTGTAATACATGTATGTGTATTTTTTACAGTATAAGGGGACGACCATTTGATTCTGAAGGGGGGGGGGGCCTGGCAGATTTTGGAAATAAATAATCTGTCCCTGAAAATGTTGAAAATAAATAATCTGTCCTCCACTAAAGAGAAAATAAATAATCTGACCTTGACTTCTGATAATTAAATATTGTAAAAATACCTTGTTTATTTACGTGTAATTTAATCTCAAAAGTCTTCAATTCAAAAATTTTTTTGGCTCGCTTCGCTCGCCATTTTAGATCCAAATATTATTTAAAATCAGATTACCAGACTGGATACTTAAGTCAGTTTATCAACATGACAATGTGCACTTAGTAGGTGTGATAAATAACTTTAAATACAAACGAATTCTTATATACCACAAAAGATTAATTTTCTTGTCGAATAATTATACTTTCCAGATAAATTAATACAAAATATACACTGGCGGATTTAAGGGGGACGTACATGTGTACAGTCCCAGGCCCTCCCTTAAAATTTCAAAGTATGATAAGAATAATAATAATAATGCTATACTTTGGGACAATACCAATATTTTTGTGCCTAGTTTTACTCTTAAAATACACAAAAACCCAAGAGCTTCACGGGGCTTCGCCCCCTAGGCCCTTTTCCTTCAAAGTGTGATATGACTTAATAATGTCATACTTTGGTACACATCTAACCAATTCCTACAAAAGTTTTACTCTTATACATATTGAAAAACCCAAGAGCTTCAGGTTGCTTTGCTCCCTGAACTTACTTCATGCAAATTACGGTATGACCAGTATTAATTATGTCATACTTTGGTTCATAATAACCAATACCACTAAAATAGTGCCTGGTTTTACTCTTAAAATACACGAAACCCCAAGAGCTTCGGGGGGGGGGGGGATGGGGTGTACTTCCTTGGCCTCCACCAGGGCTTCGCCCAGGATCCACTGGGACCCTTACGGCGGCCCCAGACCTCTTGCCTAAACAAAGTTTTACCTGTCCCCTCCCCAAATCCTGTATCTGAATATGGTATATAAATGATTAGTCTTTTCTAGAATCAATTGATGAAGGAACGGTAAGAAATAGAAGAAAATAAATAATCTGTCCTTGATAATCTTGAAAATAAATAATCTGTCCTCGACAGGCATGAAAATAAATAATCCGTCTCAAAAAAATTTGCCAGGCCCCCCCCCTCAGGATCAAATGGTCGTCCCCTAATGTAAAAAAAATGTTATTTTGGCACACACAACTAATTAAAGGCATAAACATGTGTATGATTCCAAGGAATTCAGTACATAGGGCATGTACATGTAGTTTTCTAAAACAAGATTGAAGAGATGTCCAGTCGCATTTCAATGTCAACTCCAAAACTGTGCCTGTTGCATACTTATTAGCCCATCTGAGCTAAAGAAACCAGTAAATTTTTTAAAAACATAATTTTATCCATTATCATCATTGTCTAAAATTTCACAATATCATTTTCCAGAACCAAAGTGAAACTTGGCACAGAGCATCCTTAGTGTAGGGGATTCAAATTGTTCTTATGCAGGGCAATACCTTCAAAGAGATTTGTTTCTTTAATGCTGTAAATGTATTATATTTAGCTTGTACAATATTTGGTGGAAATTGACTTTTGAATAAGTAAGCGTAGATATTCTTATTTATGTTTATGTACAAGACTTTTAGCTTTGTACTTATTTAGTGATTGCTGCATTCTGCCAAAGCCGCTAAAAAAAAATACACAGCCATATGTAATATGTTCACAATATACCTTTCAGAGAATTTTACACTCCTATTGAGGTACCACCAGTTGCTAGTGGAAAGCTTCAAATTCGAAACATACACAACACATTTCTGTGCGTTTATTATAAAAGTATTGTTCTACTTACTGCCCATACCCAAAAAAGTTATAACTTAGTTATAACTTTTGTAACTAAAAAAAGTTACAAAAAAGTTATAACTAAGTTATCGGAGTTTGGAATGGCATGTTTTAAGTGAGGTATAATTTAGTTATAACTTAGTTACAAAAAAGTTATAACTTTTGCATAACTTTTCACCTTTTATTCAACATAAATACAGCAAGTACATAAAAGTTATAAAAAAGTTATAACTACAAAAAGAAAATTAGTTATACTTATTAAAAGTTACACAAAAAGTTATAAAATAGTTACAAAGTTATACTTTAGTTATACCCAAATAAACAGTGGAAAAGTTACAAAAAAGTTATACCCAAAAAAAGTTATGAAAAAGTTACAAAAAAGTTATACCCGGAAAAAGTTATACCCAGGAAAAGTTATAACTAAAAAAAGTTATACCTATTATAAAGTTATGAAAAAGTTACAAAAAAGTTATACCCATTAAAAATTTATAACTAAAAAAAGTTATACCTATTATAAAGTTATGAAAAAGTTACAAAAAAGTTATACCCCAAGAAAGTTATGAAAAAGTTATAGAAAAGTTATACCTAAAAAAAGTTATAACTGCAAAAAGTTATAACTATAAAAAGTTATACCTATTAATAAAAACTTTCGTAAAAGTTCCAGTGAAATTATACACTGTATGTTAACCTGTTGTGGATTTACTCAGTTATAAGCTTTTAAAAAGCTACTCATTAAAATTTAAAAAAAAAAAAAAATTTTTGAAATTTATACAAAAAAGATTATTTAAAACATATTAAAGGCAATAACAATTTTACCTAACAAACACGATAAAGATAGCTTGGTTTATTGTCAAATACAACTAAATGAATGCACATGCAATTGTTTTCAAAATTCAAGTGTACCTTATTTTTCATCATGTCATCTACAACAGATTGAAATTTCTCTGGTTGTTTTAAAGAATACATTTTTAGCATCACTAATTTTTAAATATTAACACCCTATTTATTTTTGATCTAGCTGTATTTCAAAAAAAAGAAAGGTTCTAAAAAGTGATTTCAGTTACAGTTTCTAGCTGCATACCACCCTCCTTGCACAGGTATCCTTGCTGGTGTACAGTTGTTTATCTTTATTATTTGAAGATAGGCTGCACTGAAAGTTGGCTGAGTTAGCTGACAGACTTAGCCATCATTTGACAGGCCGCACTGGTAGTAGACCAAGTTAGCTGACAGACTTAGCCATTGTTTGACAGGCCGCACTGATAGTAGACCAAGTTAGTTGAAGGACTTGGCCATCGTTTGACAGGCCGCACTGGTAGTAGACCAAGTTAGCTGACAGACTTAGCCATCGTTTGACAGGCCACACTGGTAGTAGGCCAAGTTAGTTGAAGGACTTGGCCATTGTTTGACAGGCCCCACTGGTAGTTGGTCAAGATAGTTGACGGACTTGGCCATCCCTTGACAGGTCGCATCTGTAGTTGGTCAAGTTAGTTGACGGACTTAACCGTCCCTTGACAAGCCGCACTGGTAGAAGGCCAAGTTAGTCAACGGTCTTAACCGTCCCTATATTGACAGGCCGTACTGGTAGTAAGCCGAGCTAGTTGACGAACTTGGCCATCTCTTGACATGCGGCACTGGTAGTAGGTTAAGTTAGTTGACAGACTTGACCATCCCTTGAAAAGCCGCTCTGGTAGTAAGCCAATCTAGTTGATGGACTTGGTTGTTCAATGACAGGCCGCACTGGTAATAGGCCAAGTTAGTTGAAGGACTTGACAGGCTGCACTGGTAGTCAGCCGAGCTAGTTGATGGACTTGGTCATCCCTTGACAGGCCGCACTGGGTCAGCCGAGCTGGCCGAGGGACTTGGCTGGTGGTCTGCGTCCCTCATTTTAGCTGGTCAGACGTCTTGGCTGGCGGGCAGTGTGACTGATAGTCGGCTAAGTTTTCGTTGAAATATGCTTGCAATTTTAACCTTTTCTTCAATTCTGCAAAAAATTGTAAAGGTTCAAAATTTAGATTATAGATATTTAGATAGTATATTTCCAGCACTCATTTGCATATCAAATTGAAAACACTCTTCCATATCAATTAATTCAAATTCATTAATTCATCCAAAACATGGAAAATACAATTAAGACTAATTTAAGATCTATACTTACAGGAATCAGTTTTAGATTGAAAGATTTATTGAATTTTGAAATGAAAAAAAAATTTACTTTACCTTAAACAATTGTAATATTTTGAAGAATTTCATGTACTCCAGGTCAGGGCAGATTCAGCTCATGGAAACATCATGTACCAATATTCTGCTTTATAAAAAAAAAAAGAAAATTAATGTTAAATTACTCATTTCATTGCATTAATTAACGTTGCAGCTAGATCATGTTATGATCATGCTGATGCGTATAAGGCTTCACAATATTTTAACAGTTCAGGGAATCTATAAACAATTGTGGGAATAAATATGACAAAGAACAACATATTTGATTAATATACTAAATGCTGAAAAATATTATGCGTTTCAAATACTTTCAATTTGTTTACTTCAGTCTTTGTCATTCGACATACCAATCAAAACAAACAAGAAATCTAAGATTCACACGCCTAGAATTTTGTTCATTCCCAATATTTCTTCTTTTTGGAATGTTATTCCAGAGGTACTAAGTATACTTTACCAAAATCAATAAAATGTTAGCATAAATATCGCCTTACCAACTGGCTTTATCTCCTTTTTTTCTATCAACACTTTCAACATCCAAACATTCAAATCGTCCATGGAAAAATCCGCGCTCTGTTATTGACCAATCATAGAACTCAAAAACGTCACGTGATCGAAAAAAAATAAATAAATAATTCATAATTAATTTATTTTAAATGCAAATAAACCTAATTGTGTAATTTTAAACTTAAATTAAAAATATAAATACCAGTTGGTGTTAAAATTTTGAATTTATCTTAGTATCAACAAAACGGACATCGGAGGCCGCCATATTTTTTGTTGCCGCCATTTTGAATTTAATATTTGTTTATTTGTGAAAATAACTATTATAACTGGGTTATTTAATTATGCAAACAATAAAATCTACATGTACTAGTCATCTGCTTAAATCTTAATATAACTGGCAGTCTTTA